TTTTCTGTAGTGATTCATTAAACCTCTTGCGACCGCTAAAAAAACATTTTTCTGCATTGTACATTTCTAAGAAAAGGGTGAAATACATAAAAGAACAACATAGTTTCATCATTTTGTCGATTCAGCCACCGAACTAAAACATCCATATATTTATTTATAACTAGTGGGGCAGCAAATATGCACCAAGTTGTGGATATTGTGTGTTATAATTATATATTTTATTAGTTTTCAGAAAAATTTAAACACTCTTACTTTTTTTTAGAAAGTTCTTTTTAATTTATTGTTTATGATTTAAATGATTGCGCCAAAATTATAACATAACAACTATTTTAAGCAAGTATTTTTATTCAATAAATTTTCATTTTCAACGATATTTGTTGACATTTTCTTTTTTCTAATGAGTTTTTATCTTTTATATTTTTTGAGAAACATTTTTTAAAATATCAAAAACTATCAATGTAAATGACAAAATTGAATTACTTTTTCTAATAGAAATGTTATTAGAGTAGAGGGGGGGGGGGGGGGGGTGAGTGAGGATGTATTTTATAATTTGTATATTATCTTATTTGTTGGTATTTGTCGTTATCGCCAGGTTATACGTCATATGTCACTAAGGTATAGTGTGACATCTAGATTATGATGTAAAGTTTGTAAGATGTGAGATAAAGCGTGTAACCCTCCATAGTCTAGGAGACTATATTGTAAATATGTTTGTAATTCAATTATGTAACCGGCTCTTTTGAGCCTATAAATAGGGTCTTTGCCTGTATGGAATAAACAAGAGTTTTTTGAGTGTCTAAGACTTGAGTTGAATCTCTGTTGAAATTGAATTACTTTTTCTAATAGAAATGTTATTAGAGTTATAACATTTTCTAAAGTTATAAATTAACATTGTAAATGATAAAAATTAAATATTTCTTTATAATAGTATTACAGTTTAATCAATCGTTATGATATTTTAATTCATATATAGAGGATAGACTTGACATCATCTTTTTTATAACGGTTACGACATTCAGGTTCAACCTATTAAAAGTTATAAATTTATGCTATAAAAACATCTAAAATAGTTCGTTTGTGAAATTTTATACGAACATTGGGTTTATTTGGTAAATGTAAACAAAAAAATATTTTATATTTAAAAAGGAAAAATAAAAACAAAACCAATTAAAAGGAATATATAGCTACGTGACTTTTATTATTTTAAACAATATACAATAATTACACTTACTAAATTCAATTATATTTTTTCATAAAACTATGATATTAAGTTGATAGAAACAATAATTACATTTATTAAATTCGTTTATATTTTTCCATATACAATAATTACGTTCATTTGTTTATTTCTATTTTACTAATACTCAAATCCACTTTTTACACACCATAGTAAGACTAAGGGGAATGGTAACACTCTTAGCACTTTGTCACGTCAGTTTTTTGAGTGTCACTTCATTTTTCTCCCTTTAACACCTAAACTTAACATTTGGTAGGGAGTCGTAAAACTCCTAGCATTCCATTTTATTATTATTATTTTTTTCTAATTTAATTTGATTACTTTATTTTAATAAACAAACATTTTTTATTTAATGTTAAATAAAATATATTTTTTTTAATTAAATTACTTTATTTAAATATACAAACATTTTTTGGTGCACAAATATTAAACACATTTTATTTTTTTAAACCACAAACAATTAATATAATATAAAGACAAAACTTCAAAAATGGTCCCTATGGTTTCCGAAAATATCAATTTTAGTCCCTAAGTTCAAAAAATCTCACGGATCGTCCCTGTGGTTTCAAAACTTTTAACAAATGGTCCTTCCGCCTAACTCCGTCAGCTTTCTACCGTTAAGTGAGGGGCATTTTCGTCATTTCAATACCCAGGGACCATTTATGAGGTTTTCTCTATTAAAAAAAAGAAAAAAAAATATAATAATTTAATAAAAGGGCCTCTCTCTCTCTTCTCTCTCTCTCTCTCTCATACACACGATCATCTTCTTCGTAAAAAAAACCCAGATACATTTCACACCAACAAACACATTTTTTAACAAAATTGGAATCTCGATAAATGTTGTACAAGGACACCATAGAATTAGATCGAGATGCTTAATCTCCAATTGGGTATCAGGTAAAAAAACATAATCTGATTACCATTCTTTCAAATCCTTATTCAATCTGTTTCATATTTCATCATCTTCATCAAAAACTTTGATGGGTTCACAAGGATTTATCAGGTTAAGACTATCTTCCTTCTTTAACACCACAATAGTATCAAATCGTTCAGGGGATTCCATTTTCCATTTACAATCTGTACTGAAAAACCCCATGACACTAGAATCAACCATTCCCTTTTCTATTCATAGGAAATGGTTTATTGTATGATACTAGCAGAATCGAATTTAGTTGATTCCAAGGGAGGGTAGCATTACAAATTTATGATAGAGAGGCAGCTCCTCCGGTGGTGGTGGCGACGGTCTGGCGAGAGCAGGTCTCTCCAATAATCTTCGAACAAGGAAGAAGAGAAACCGTTAGGGAGAGAATTCAACAACTCTTTTAAGCAGAATCGATGTTGTTCGCCATCACCCCTTCCAACCTTGGCTCACCGGAAAAACGAAGCAGAAGAATGGGGACTGCTGCCTCAGATCTAACCCCTTCTCCACCTTTCCCGTCGAAGCTCAACCCCCAAACACCCTACTTTGATTGGCGACTGCAGCTGCCCCCTCCCTTCGAGTTTCACTGTCGGAGTAGCCCAATTCAAAGAAGGGGTGATGGCGAACAACTTTCCTCAGCCTAATCCATCAACGTTGTTTGTACTTAGACTCGGTACCTAACTCCACCCCTTTCCAGAGGCATTAACAAACACAACAATCAACGAGAATGACAAGGATCGGGTGGCTGGAACCTGCTTCAAGTGAAACAAGAGAACTGTTGTTTGTTTTTAGCTCCGGCGAAGAAGAATAGGCGAGGAAGGAAAAGTGAGAGAGAGAGAGAGAGGTGGGGCCCTTTAATTAAATAATTATATTTTTTCTTTTTTTTTAATAGAGAAAACCTCATAAATGGTCCTTGGGTATTGAAATGACGAAAATGCCCCTCACTTAACGGCAGAAAGCTGACGGAGTTAGGCGGAAGGACTAAACATTAAAAGTTTTGAAACCACAGGGACGATCCGTGAGGTTTTTTGAACTTAGGGACTAAACTTGATATTTTCGGAAACCACAGGGACCATTTTTGAAGTTTTAGATTGGGGTAAAAATTAGATTTATTAATAAAAAAAAGTTAGTAAAAAGCTGAATTTTTAATTGAATGGGTGTAAAAATCGGATTTATTGATAAAAAGGAAGGGGTGGAATTGAATTTTGTTTGAATGTTAAATCCACTAGAATTAATTTTCACCAATGAGAATCAAGCACTCTCTCTCTCCTCTCGTTAAAGATTTGGTGAATTCTTCTTAGCATTCCCCTTAGCGGGGGCTAGGGGGTGGTGTGCATTTGGGCTTAACATGTTTAGCAAGGGTTCTTGACACCCCACTCCCTTTAGCCTAATAGCATACTATAACGGCCATTCCAAGTTCCAACCCTATATGTGATGAGACACGTCCTTGACCGCTTTCAAAAAGAAGTGACAGCTGTAATACTTTTTTGCTAGAGTTTCTTGAGAACTGATTAATGTTTTAGAGACATATTATTCAAAGATATTAAAATCTATATATTTTCTCAACACCTCAAGTTTTTTAACTCTTTTTTACAATGAAATGCTTTTCTATGTGTAAACCGTCATATGAGGACTTCATATATCAAACAAATATATATCTATGATTTTCAATTTGGCTATATGACATCTTCCTACAAAAAATAAATAAATAAATTTATGAAAAGATGTAATATACTTTTATAAAAAAATAATAATAAAGTAATATGGATTTAACTTTTTCAGCTAAACCTACATTTTTCTCTTTTTGTTTTGTCGCATGCCAAAAACATAGAAATTAAAAGAAATTTAATTCAAATTGTTTTAGTATATATTTCAAAACAAATGACTTATTTTTAATAGTTATAACTTGTGTTAAACCTATTTTCTACATCAAAATGAGTTTTCCACGTCAATGTTATAGTCGACTAAAAGCAGAGTTAATCAATAGATTTTATATTTCCTTGTAATTAGGAGATAAACTACAACTAACATATTTAAAAAGATAAATAAACCAACCAAAACAATAAAAATATAACCTTAAAAAATATGAGAACAATACGAAAATATAAATTAGTATATCCTCCAACCCATTATCCTCATTCAAATAAAGTTTGAATACATAGAGAAAACTAAACTAACATATAAGCGAAAAATAAATATATACAAAAACATATGACCCTCAATCAAAAAAAGATCAAAGAATCGTTTTACTAGGATCTGTACAAATAAAACATAGATCCTAAAAATCTCATGTACAAGATCAATACAAAAATTTACATAAAATCAAGCTCACAAAATATATACAAACTTATAAACACAAACACACACAAGGAGAGAGAGAGAGAGAGAGAGAGAGAGAGAGAGAGAGAGTGGAAATGGTGGTGGCGGTCCTAAACAGCGATCAGTGTGCTTGTGAACGATAGTGGAGGCAGCCATGGAAGATGAACGCCATGGAAAACAATGTTGACAGTGAGAGCATTTTTGGCCACTGGGTAATGGTAAGTTATAGAAGCTCTATCATGGTGCCGGTCGGTGATAACCAACGCCCGGAATGGTGGTGGCAATGAGAGGAATTAGGGTTTTAGAGGTTTCCAGAGTTTGTAAAAAGTTTATTAGGGTTAAAAAAGTTGAGAATATATATTTATAAGCTGATTTTTTTAGGTGGCTATCTTCTCATTGGCTTATTTTCTTTGACATGGATTACCAACATGTATTAAATCTAGCCATTCGAATTTAATTTAATGGATAGGATTTTATCTCCTTGTTTTAAGACTTTGTCTTAAAATTTTGTGGGTCCTCATTTAGATGCATTATAAAGTAGTATAGATAACACTCCATCGATAAAACGGTGAATGTACATTGTGTTTTTCTGTACAAAAACCAGGCAAAAAATGGTTGTTTTAAACAGTGAAAGAAAGTATAATGTTTCATTACTTTAATCACTAGACAGAATTATTGATTAAACGTGAAGAAGCGCAGGCATGGTATGCCCTGCAAAAAGAGCATTCTACAGACTATTCACTGACTGCATCAACAGGTCACAATATCATCATCGTCATCATCATCACAGCCATTGGTCTCAATCTAGAGATTATACCCCAGAAGGAACAACAGGTAACATTTTTCATCATCATAGCCATCGACCCCAAACTATCTTTCTTTATTCTTTTCCCGATCTTAACTATAAAAATCCAGTGTCATGTCAAGTAAGTACCAAATCACAACATCCAGACAAAAACTAACTAAATATTAAACAACCATGGCATAGAGGGAATGGTAATATGGCATTGGTTTCATGTCAACAATAACTTGAGGTAAGTGAGTAATAACAAACACTACAATCCACAAACACAAATCATTCTTATATCATAATACTGATGAAAATACCTCCTACAGATCACTATAATCATGGAGGGATCCGATCCTTCCTACCAAAAATCCACCAACATGCATGCATTCAAAAGAGGACACCTTTTATCACCTATCACTCCTGCATAAAATCAAATAAGAATAACGTAACTGGGTACATTTCTTTCTAAGGGTTTATGTCACTACTACTCAATTTGCTCTTTTAATAATACTGACTCAGTAAATCAATAAAACAAAATCAATATTGAATCCTATATGGTCCACTTATGTCCATGTGTTGCTGACATGGCATCCACATGGAAATATAACTGTATTTTGCTTAGGATTTAAATAAATAACATAGACGTCAGTGAACAAATTCCTCCAGAGTGGTAGGATTCAATACAAATTTATCCCATTGAAATCCACCCCAATATATATAAGTGACCTAAACAGCAAATTTATTTCTTGTCATTAACCCAATTTCTAACTCAGAAACTCACCTCATCATGAACACGCGGTGGTGGTGGTGGTGATGGGCTCCTTGAATCAAGACTATGGCTTGGTGAACGGGTGTGGGGACCAGGGCTGCATCACCAACACAAGGCAAATCATCAAAAAAGAAATATATATATATATATATATATATATATATATATATATATATATATAAGAAGGAGAAATCATATAGTATATTGAAAATATATGTGAAACCTTTCAGTAGACTGACTCCTTCTGAAATACTCATCATCATAACGACTCCTGTTGTGATTGTGAGGGGTATAGCTACGACTCCTGCTTCTTCCATGGTACCTGCAACCCCTTTCCCTACTATCATCAATATCATCATACCTTTTTCTCCTGTACTCCCTGTCCCTGTCCCTATAATAATCATCATCATGGTATCTGCATCACAAAACAAACTTCCATCATCAACATCTTACATAACATGGTGATCTTAATAATATAAAAGATGGATGAATCATGAAAGAAAGAACCTTTGTCTAGGACTACGACTTCTGGACCTGCCTCTACCCCTGGGAGACTTCTCAATCACCCTTCCTCTATGACTGCAAATATAATCAACATAAACTAACAAACATTCCTAAGTCAAAATAAAGTAAAATGATTCTAGACTAGACTGCAAGGAAAATAAAATGCTACAAACCAACTTTGAGAATGAAATCAAACAATTTACTCTATGAATGATTAATTTTTTCCAAAATAACATCAAAATGAAGAAAAAGGTTTAAGAGGTTTGCTAGACAAATCACAATTCACAACAGATACTCTCCCCAGCTACCTATAACCTGAACAATCTAACAGAACTATCTTGTAAAAAATGCCCATCCACTACCAAAGATTCCTTTCTACTTTGTAGTGTTCCCCGTTTTGCCACTTTATAGAATACTTGTACTTAATTGGAGGTATAGCAAAAAGTTGGCAAAAAAACAAGTGAGGATCCCATTAATTTCATGCCAAAGTTTTGCCATTTTGATAGTGTAGCACGATAAGATAAGATAATACCAGAACAATATGAAACCTATAAACTTACATCCTTTCTGCATTGGGTCCGTATTTAGCAAACTGAACTGTGATTTCTCGGCCATCAACTTCTCTTCCTGATAAGAGCATAAAAGGAAACAGAAACAGCCGATTACAAGGAGATTCCAGAATGTATTTTCTCCTAATGATAGAAACATTGCCTTCTACGCATGATTATTAATTACCGTCCAGCCTATCTACTGCCTTCTCTGCTTCATCTGCATACTTGTAACGAACGAACGCAAAGCCACGGGAATCACCAGTCCTAATCCAAAAAGATGATAGTAAGTAGTAAATAGTTGCTATAGTTTTAGGGTTGGGATTGGGAAGATGACAATTTTAATCTTCGTTTTATCCTTCCATCAACTTTTCCATGAATAAGAGACCTTACGGTTTAGACGATATAAAAACAGAAGACGGGGATATACATTATACAACATACCTTCGATCTTTGGGGATGAAAATGTCAACAACCTTTCCGTACTTATCAAAAAGCGGGAACAGATCGTCAGCCGTCGTCCCTGTATATACACGCATACAATCAATCCAAACACTAACGATTCTTTTCTCTTGAAAAATAATCAGTAACATTACCAAAGGAACACCGAAGAAATTTAAGACGATGATAGCACAAGCAACATGAATATCAGAAGACTTACGGAAACTAATGTTAAGAATGAGGAGAGAGTAGGTGTCGGAAATATCCGGCGGTCCTGATCGGCCAAAGTGAGACATCGTTTGTTTCGTTCTTGCCGCTAACTATAAATTTAAACACACTGATTTTGATTGATCGAAGATTGAAAGAGTTTTGGGGATTTTCAGGGAGGTAGGGTTCGTGAGAATTATTTGGAGGAGGTGCATTTCATCGTGCCATTGTAAAGAAGCTTCCGGAACATGGAAGCGATCGTAAAGAGAATGTCATCGCCAAGTGTCACACTCCAGTCGTTTGCTGTTTTCAGGCTGAGCTTGGGCCTAGTTTGATGAGCTGTAATATTGGCTTCATTTAAAAAAAGACAAAACTGCAAAAATGGTCCCTATGGTATGCATTTTTTGGGGGTTTTGGTCCAAACCACGACTTTTTTGGTTTCGTGGTCCTTTTGGAGTAGTTTGTATGTGCAAATAGTCCCTCCGAAAATTGAAATGACTATAATACCCTTGGGGTATTTATTTTTCATTTTTCTTTCATTTTTTTAAAATTTTATATTTATTTATTTATTTTAGAGGACCCACCCCCTCTCTCTCTCTCTCTCTCTCTCTCTCTCTCTCTCTCTCTCTCTCTCTCTCTCTCTCTCTGATCGTCTTATTCCTCAAGAATATCCATACAATTTCACATACACACATATACACACACTAGATGATATGCTTCTATTTGGAATTGAAAAACAATTTCATGTTCTTGGTTCTTGTGCTCTTCTATCTTCAACCTCCATTTCAAGAACAAACCCAGATTTGATATTTATCGTGTTCATCAAAACTCAGGTCCGATCTTCATCTTGTAGAATCGTTCATGTTGTAAAACCTCATCAGTGTTCCAATCTCGTCCTCTCCAGCTCCAGTTTTTTATCCAAAGATGGTGGCAAGCACGAGATTTCCATCAATGTAACTTGCACCATTGATGTAAGCTTAAAGGTCTCTACACCACTAGGGATTTCCACTATCGTCACCATTCTCTCTATTTTGCTGCCTCTCGTTAAGATTACACACACATACACACAAAATTAGATCTGTAACACTTCGATGCATTTTGAGGGTTATACCTTGTGTTCAGCAATAAAAAGGATTTGCAGGTGTGTGTTTGTGTGTGTGTCTATTTCAGAAATACATTTCTTGGAAGAATCGAAGCCTGCAATACATGATTTATGTGTATCCATTAGTTATGGGTTCCATTTCCAAACAAACCTGAATGATCGTTTACAACATGGAAATATCATTCAGACAAAAGATCAAACACTTGGTGTACATCAACCATAGGTTAGGTTCATGGGTTGTAGCTTTACTGAGTAATCCGTCACGTCATTTTCTTTTTTCATCATTGAATTCCCCATTATTCCCTGCAACAAAGATACAAATGCACCACCTACACCATAAGCATCCATCAGACTCATTAAATCACTGAATCGAGATGAAGAGAGATTGGATACAAAAACAGATGAACAAAAAAGAGGGATGCATTAATCGAAAGGGGATTTAAATGATGGGGTTAGGGGATGATGGTTTTGATCGGACCCTGTGGGGGTTCAGCTGCCTTCTCGATCTGTGACCTCCTTCTGAAACACACAGATTCAAAGTCCATGAAATCTTCCTTGGAGCTCCATGTTATCCTGGTCAAACCCACCATCCATTTTATGAAAATAGTTGGTGCTTGTGGTATGGTGAAGTTGTCGTCTTGGTGATGATGAAGAAAAGTTGCAGGTGACGGATTTTGAATAGGAAAATAGGGGTGGGTGGTTTCTGATGAAAAGCAACGAAGAGAGAGAGAGAGAGAGAGAGAGAGAGAGAGCGCGAGAGAGAGAGGCTTTCATTTTTTAATTATTAAAATGAATAAATAATTATTAAAACTTTTAAAAAATGAATTTAGAAATAAAAAATAAATACCCAAGGGTATTAAAGTCATTTTAGTTTACCAAGGGACCAAATCCGCAATGAAACTAGCTCAAAGGACCACGAAACCAAAAAAGTCGGGGTTTGGACTAAAACCCCAAAAAAATGCATACCATAGGGACCATTTTTGCAATTTTGTCTTTAAAAAATGGTAAACTACACGATGGGAACTGTGGTTTTGGATAGGTTGCGTAGTTGTCCCATAAAGAATTTTTAATTCGGACTCTCCTATGTTTCTGTTGTGATTTTGATCCCTAACCAATATAAAAAGACAAATATACCCTTATAAGATTTTTTATAAGTCTAGGCCTCACTCGTTCTTTTCTTCCTTCCTCATTGCCTTCGGGAACTCCATCATCGACACCCTTCCTTCTCCGACCAACTTCCCTCCCTTCTCATTATGTTGTACATCTCTGCCCCGTTGTGTTTCTGATGATTACATACACAACACAAGGTTCTTAAATAAAATTGGATTTCAGGCTCTATTGCCCCAATACATTCCTATTTTCAGTTCCAAGGGAGGTGAAGGAAATATAATTCTTGCTGACAAAACATTTTGGAAACCCATCACCGTCTCACCAGTCAAACTTAGGCCGACGACTACATAACCACCTACCATTGCATAAGACTTTCATTGAAATCAACGAGTTCATCTGCTAAAAATCTTCATGCCGACAACTTCCATTGAAACCGACGACTCCAACTTCAATAGGAGACGATGTTGCTTCAATCTTCAGATGTCATCTTCTTCAAATCAATATCACAACCCATTTTGGTCACCTTCTCATCAGTCGATATCTCCTGGAGTTGAAATTCTTCACTAGATTAGAGACCAGTTCATTCAAAATCGGAGATTCCTTTGTTATAACTTATAAGAGATCTCAGAAGAAAGAATCGATGCTTGATTTAATTATTTTTCTTTTTCCTGCCGCTTTTTCTAAAGGGTTCCGATCTGGAGAGAGAAAAAAAAAACTCAGTCGAAGTTTAAGCAAATGATACGAGCGGGCGTGTCACGGGATGACTCTTACGACTAGTCTATCTCGTGTGCCACTTAGTTTTTCTACAACTAAGTCAGGCCACTTCAACGATCTTAAATGTATTAACGAAATTGGAAAGCAAGAGACTAACACTTCAAGAATACAAAGAGTGCTTGTATTATAAGAACTCAAGAGATTACAACGACTTCTCGATGGATCTCTACAAATGAGACCTCCTCCCTATTTATAGGGACATTACACCTCCTCATGGGAAGTTTGTAGGTCCCGTATATTCTCGACTATTCTAGAGTGTTCTATCAATATCTACATTATCTTTACAAGACTCCATATTATGATACACTATTCTATAATGTTCTAGATATCTCTAGGATGTTATGATATTATCCAAGTTATTCTTGCATGATCTAGCATTTTCTAGATCGTTCTTGAGTCTTCCGAGTCATTCTAGTTTCGTCTAGTGTCGTCTTGATTATTTCGGAGACTCCTCGTGTATTCTTTATTGTTACAACATTTTCTACACGGTCCCGGAGACTTCCAGAAACTTTGTCCGTGACACCCTCTCCCACTTAAACCCTTGACGTCCTCGTCAAGTCTTTTATACATATGTTTCGATCTTGTCACAATGCTACTTCGTGTCTTTTCTTTTTCTCCAAAGTATCTCATCGAGTAAGGCGTGCTTTTATTTCTCAACGTACCTTGAATCGTACTTTTTCTCTCAACCTCGTAAAATCTTGAGTAAATCTTCAAGTGGGATATGGATCCCTGTTCATTCGAATGTGTCTTGTTTACTCGAACTTCCCTTTTTGGCTTCATATTCTCCTTGATCTTATTGATGGGTTTGAGCCAAAAGAACATCATATGTGCTCATGCAAACCCTAATGCTTGGATCTAGGTTTCTCTATTGTACATGCAATTCATCCAAGACTTTCTAACCCTAGATCTAGTGTACATAATCGAAATTAACATCATAAATCAGATCTAGATGTTTACCTTGTTGTTGATTGAAGATCTTGAAGCCTGAAAACTTTAGCACCTCAAGTGTTGTGCCTCTAATGAATCACAAACACCAATAACAATTGGAGGAAACAAGAGAGAGATGGGAGAGGAGATTTTCGGCTCTTAGGACTTCTAGGGTTCAAGTTAGCAGAAAATCCCATGCCAAAGGGTTCTTTATATAGGGTAGGAATTAGGGTTTTAGTGATTATCTTTAATAGATTACTTAGCCACCAAGCAGCCCAAAATAATTCTAGAATCCCCATCATGGACGAATTCTTAAGGCTTTATCCCTAGAATTCGTCCACCCTATCTATTAGGGTTTCCTTGCCCAACTTTGTAACTATCACATAATTACAATTTAGTCCCTTAAGTTCAATTAACTTCTTTTGATCACAAAACTAATTCTTAATTAATTATTGACCAATGTTAATTAAACAAATATGATTTCTCTTTTAATATATTAGTCTTATAATATATTAATAAATCATAATCACCTCTTTCTATATTATTCCTCCAGTCAAGTTGCTTTAGTGAAGGCAACCCAAAAGGACCATGCACAACCGGGTCAAGTACATACCAAATATAGTTATGGACTTAGACACTAATCCAACAGTCTCCCACTTGGATAAGTCTAATAACTATAAATGCAAATGCAACTTCTGGATCCGATTAGCAAACCCAGTTCTCAAAACTCTTGATCTTATCAATAATCTGTCCTTAAGATAAGGGGTCGTATAATCCTCTATTCTAGATATCATGCGGACAATTACATGGAACATAGTCATACTTATTGTCCAACAGTTAGTTTCTCGATCTCTGATTCGTTTGACATAGAACTTAATTGAACACATCAATTCAGTCCTGACCGGACCCGACACATAAGTCAAACCAAATCATCGAGGGGCCCTGATATCGCTTTTACCCTCTTAGGATAAAAGGAACAGATAAACTTCGACTTATATGCATTTACTATCCACTAATCAAATCATACACAACAATGCGTTTTATAACATCAAGTTACTGATGCGTTTACATATTATCAATGCACAACCAATTAGCAAACAATAAACCATATATCTAGGTTTTAAGACCATATGATATTATCGTCTTGCGATCACTCGTGATAAATTCCATGAAATGATTCCAGCAAGCGTAGGTTTATTCCAATGCTCAAATCAAGTTCATAAGCACTCATGAACGTTGTAGCAAACTTTTGCTATGTCTAATACTCTTTAGACAATCTACACACCAATTCATGACAGTCTTCATTCATACCTACTTCCAACATATGAACGACTGTGGGCCGTTCGAATAATCTTATTATTCAGGAAGTCAAAACATGCAAAATGAAACAATAGCTAAATAATTAACATAA